GACAACATCAAAAACGAAGCAATTCTGCGAGACGTCCTTCAAAAATGGAAAGTTGAGTGCTTAGCTGACGGTCTCGTACCAATGTGTTTTGCGATTTGTCTATTCTATCTGTCTAAAGTATTGCACCATCTTAGGAAACCTGAAGATCTGATGCTCCAAAATGCAACCCCCTCTCAGGAAATCAGCGCCCGGACCTCCTAACATCTCTGATGCACATGTCTCTTGTACTGCGCCTGCCACGCGAAATGCATGTTTGCAGATCCTCTTCAAGTGTCCTACGCCTGCCACCGCTTTTGAAACTGTTACAAAACCCTCACGTTTTGCTCACTTTTGACAAGGTGCACAATCCCTTGCCCCTGCCACGCAAAACGGCATCTGAACGTCCAAAAGTGCTCCGTCCCGTCAGTTTTTTGCACGTTTTGACTTCGACATGTACTTCACGCCACAACGGCGTACACTTTTTCGACATGTCGACTGCCAAAAGTGCTCTGAGAATGGTGTACATTTTGACTTCGAAATGCGCTTCGCGCCACAACGGCATACACTTTTTCGACATGTCGACTGCCAAAAGTGCTCCAAGAATGGTGTGCTTTGTACATTTTGACTTCGACATGTGCTTCGCGCCACAACGGCGTGCAATTGTTCATCTCTCATCTGGCCAGATGGCTCCGCACCCGCCGCTTTAGCGAGCTTGCTTTTCGACCCTCCGGAACACAAATCATTGGAAAAACACAGTGACTCGCGACTTGTCTACCTTTTCGCGTTTTCGCGCACCTGCGTCTTCTTTCTTCTGGCTCTTTCTCTTCTCTGATCTTCTTGCTTCTTCTCTTCTCTTCTCTGACTCTTCCCACCTCTGCTTTTTCATCTGTCCATACTGTCGGAAGTTATATGTACATAGATGTAAATATAAATGCCTTTTTTCGAAAATATTCTACTATGTTTTTGCAGGTGCCCAACCCTTGGACTAGGGCCTGGTTCAAGTTAGCTGGGAGGGCTTGGTTGTATAACTACAAGCCCAGCGAATCCATGCTTACAGATATTGCTGCATTTTGAGCTGTCAACCAATCTCTACTTGGGATGACGACAGTTGATCGGGGCTTGGATGTTTTGACCTATGTTTTTGACGTCTGCTAAGGGCATCGCAAGCCAGACTCTCTCTCTCTCCTCTCCTCTCCTCTCCTCTCCTCTCCTCTCCTCTCCTCTCCTCTCCTCCCCTCACCCTCCCCTCCCCTCTTCCTCTCCTCTCCTCCCGCCTCTCCTCTCGCTCTCCTCTCCTCCTCCTCTCCTCTCCTCTCCTCTCCTCTCCTCTCCTCTCTCTCTCTCTCTCTCTCCCTCCTCTCTACTACTATTCAAACTTACACATTACACATAGCACATTATTCCCTACAAGTATTGCATCGGCAAGAAATAAAATTAGCAGGGTCCCAACCTATTGCCCATCCAAAGCCTGTTGAGATCCTCATCACAAGGCCTCCCCAGAAAATAGAATCTGTGGGTCCAACCCACCATAAACCCCCCCAGCAGCACTATTTCCCAAAAATATTTTGGGCTCAAGCCCCATTATGTTTATTTGTACATTTGTATCTTGCCCCATATGGCTAGTTGGTTTCGCTCTGACACCTTCCAGTTCCGCTAGCTTCATCGCCGAAACTCCAGCTGACCTGCCCCTTCGGCATTTCGCCTTGATTGAATTCCTATTCTTTTACATCTATATATACAAGTAAAGCGTCGTACCTTTATATACGATATACATGTAAATATATATATATATTCACAATATATGTACATATATATATATATACATATGTCACTATATAAGTATTTTTACATAAACATGTGACTACATGTGCAAGCAGTCTGGAACCCTGAAAAACCGATGCGCTTTCCCACTTCCAGGTGGTTTGCCCAAAGTTCTCAGCTCCACATGGAATGAATTTTCGGCCATGACTCTGTGAATTTTAGCGCATTTTAAGAGTCCGGCCAAGAAAGGGTAGGAGGATTGGAAAAATGGACATTTTACAAGAAACCCATATGTATGCGGGTTCAAAAAATCATGGTTTCCTGCAATTTTTCCGTTAAATCATTCTCCATTGAAAAAACACAAGAAATCAACGAACCTCAATCCAGTCACGTAAAACACTTTTGTGGAACAACTTATTCCAACAGCCTTGTACATTCTTCCCCTGTTACCGTACCAGTGTAAACTGTGAAATGTGGAATGGGGTGGAATGCAGAGTGTGGAGTGTGAAGACAGTGAAAACAATGGAGTGTTGAGTCTGAGTGCGGAATGTAATGTGTAGAATGTGAAGTGGGAGTTCAAGTGTAAAATTTAACGTGTAAAGTGTAAATAAAGAGTGTGGAGTTTAAAGTGTACAGTGTACAGTGTACAGTGTAGAGTGCGGGTTGTCAAGTGTAAAGCGTAGAGTGGAGAGTGTGGAGTGTAAAGTTCACAGTGAAATCTGTAGAGCGCGCAGTGCGCAGTGAAAAGTGTAGAGTGTGAAGTTTAAAGTGTAAAGTGTAGAGCGTGGAGTGTCAGGTGTGAAGTGTGAAGTGTAACGGAGTGTCAAGTGTAAAGTGTGAAGTGGGTGTCAAGTGTAAAGTGTAGAGCGCAGTCTCAAGTGTAAAGGCCAAGTGTAAAGTACAGTATAAAGTGTAGAGTGGGGAGTGCGGAGTGTAAAGTGTAGCGTGTGAAGTGTGAAGTGTAAAGTGTAGAGTGTAAAATGTTGAGTGTGGAGCGTAAAGTGTAGAGTGTGGCGTGTAAAGTGTGTAGTGTAAAGTGTGGAGTGCGGAGTGTCAAGTGTAAAGCGTAAAGTGTAAGTGTGGAGTGTAAAGTGTAAAGTGTAAAGTGTCGGGTGTAGAGCGTGCGGTGTCAAGTGTAAAGTGTAAAGTCTAGAGTGGAGTGTGCGCAGTGTAAAGCGTAAGTGTGGAGTGTAAAGTGCACAGTGCAAAGTGTAAAGTGTGGAGTGTGGAGTGTCAAGTGTAGAGTGTGGAGTGCGCAGTGTAAAGTGTGGAGTGTGGAGTGTAGAGTGTGGAGTGTCAAGTGTTAAGTGTTAGGTGTTAAGTGTGAAGTTCAGAGTGTGGAGTGTGAAGTGCAGAGTGTGGAGTGTAAATTGTCAAGTGTAAAGTGTAGAGTGTGGAGTCTCAAGTGTAAAGTGTAAAGTGTACAGTACAAGGGTAGAGTGCGGAGTGTAAAGTGAAGTGTGCGAAGTGTAAAATGTAAAGTGTGGAGTGTCAAGTGTAAAGTGTAGAGTGTCCCAAATACTGCCCCTGCCATGCAAAAAGAAATCGCATTCCACACACGACGGATCTCCACCAAATTCTGTGCCTGTCACGCAAAATGACACTCTCACGATGTCCCACGCGATTTGCATGCTGTCACCACCTGACACAGCCCTGAAATACGATTCGCCAAAAACACGCGGCACGACATGTCTAAAGTGCTGCGCCTGCCACGCAGAATGAAGATGGACACGTCCAAAGTGCTGCGCGTGCCACGAAAAATGCAAGTCATATTCTGAAAACCTTGCAGAAGTATTGCGCTTGTCAAGCAAAACTACTTTCGGCATTTTTTCAGACACGTGAGAATGTCACAAAGTGCCACGCCTGCCATGCAAAACGACATTACAACCTGCTCTGAAACCTTCGAAAATGGGAGGTTTTGCAGCTTCCTCCATATGCATGGCGACACCACAAGAAAACCAGAGAATCAAGACGATACATGTTGGAGCCTCAAACCCAGCATTTCATGCGAGACTTCCTCATTTTTCAGGCTTTGTAGCTACACATTGGACGTTTTCCTACGGGTTCTCTTTTGAATCCGAAAATCGATGACCTCAAAATCGATGTTTCGTGCGAGGCTTCCGTCAAATTTCATCACATGTCACAAAATGCCACGCCTGCCACGGAATTTGCACGTTGTCACCACTTGACGCAGCCCTGACATTAAGGTTCCCAAAATGAGCATGTAACACGACGCGTCTGAAATGCTGCGCCTGCCACGCAAAATGACGATGAAGGTCTCCAAAGTGCAAAATGGGAGTCGTCTTCTGAAAACGACGCAAAAGTATTGCGCCTGTCACACAGTTATGAAACATGTTGGAATGTCACAAAGTGCCACGCCTGCCACTCGAAACGAGGTTACGCGACGTTTGAAACCTCCAAAGCGACCGCTTTTGCAACACTCCCAATAGGCACGGCCATAGCGACCTCATCGCGAACCGTTGCAAACGGTTGCCGACGGTTGCGAACACAAAAGCAGCGTCGAGCGAACACGTCCCAACCCCCAGGCCCCCAAAGTAAAACGAGAAACCTTTGCTATGCATTCGGGAAAAACTAAATCAGGGATGGCAAAATCAACAGATGAAACCTCTCCTAGACCCAACAGTCGTCCCGTCTAGTGAAAAGAATATCTAATCTATATGTATATATGTATATGTATCTGTTTAATACAATAGTTTGAGTTCCACGCAATATGTTTGGCCATGTTTCATAATGTCCCCGTATCCTTTCGTGCTCTTAGTCACATGTCCTACATGGCAGGTGACAAGTTGCCGGTTTTTAGTCACCAGGTCAGCATGGGCAGAGCTACGCGGCGGGGAACTTTGTCCTAGCTTAGGACTCCTGGTCCTGGTTTGCGAGATCCGCTGCTAGCTCTACGGACACCACTTCCTTTCCACTCGCGCAAACCTCGCTGATGCTGGGAAGGTTGAGAAGATCAGAAAAAGCGAGAGAGCGTCCGTATTTCCGTCGTGGTGTTCATCTTCATCATCATCATCATCATCATTATCTTCTTCTTCTTCTTCATCATCATCGTCGTCGTCGTCATCATCATCATCATCATCATCGTCGTCATCATCAACCTCACTATCATCATCTTCTTCTTCATCACCATCACTATCAGCAGCAGCACCCTCACCATCATCATCATCACCATCATCAACATCATCACCATCATCATCAACATCATCACCATCATCACCAACATTATCAACATCATCCCCACCAGCATCATTAATTATAAAAAAAATAATGATAACCACCATCATGGTAATCACGGTAACCGTCATCATCATCATCATCATCAGCAGCAGCACCACTGCACCATCTCCACCACCACCACCACCACCCACCCACCCACCCGCAATACCATCATCACCACCACCACCATCATCATCATCGTCCTCATCATCCTCATCACCATCATCACAAGTACCATCACGACCACCAACACATCCACCATCATCATCATTATCATCACCAACATCATCACCAACAGCATCAGCAACAGCATCAGAATCAGCATCAGCATCAACGTCATCAACAACAGCATCACCGTCATAATCCTCCTTACTGCCATCGTCATCATCATGCTGTATCACTCCAACAAGGATGTTCGGCAATGCTGCCATGGAAATCTAAAATGCAGGGCACAAGGGACAATAGTCCACAGCATGCACCTGTCAGGAAGCGATTTAATTTGAGATTAGTTCCACACACGGGTTTGGATCAAAATGCATTGCTGGTGTCCCTTGTGAAGCATCAGCCACCTTGTTTTGGTATTGCAACAAAAAACTTGGAGGCAATGCTTACACATCCGCTTGAAAGACCACGATTTCTCAAAAATTTCGTCAATGCAGTTGGGCATGCAGTATTGGAAGCCTCATCGAGGGATTTCTAAATGGAGGGTGCTTGATGTCTCGTCATAACCCCCCAGAACACCATCCAGGTCGTGGGCCCCAATTCTGTGGCAATCCCAACATCCAACAACAACCCTGGTATACATTCTTTTTTGGCTGAAAAACAGACGCTGCTACTGTGAGAAGTCATTCAGTAGCTATGGTATCTTATGGCTCCAACTGTTTTTTGTGTATCTTTTCTCCTCTTGACCCCCACGAAATGGGCACCCTAAACCTCCAAAACAAGCGAGGCGCATCGAACACGCAGTCCTTGAATTCATTGCTCTCTTGGTCTTGAAAGTACTTGCTACAAGTCTTCACAGCACCTGACCAGGGAGTCGCCGCGGAGACTCCCAAAGATGTTGAGGAGATATGGCCCGGCCTTGGGTTGTTATTACCGAACGAGGACGTGAAGAGACAGAGTCAAGTTGGAGGTGGGTAGCTGGCATTTCTGGTTGGATTCGGTGTGATCAATCATTGGACTTCCACACAGTATTCGTGGTTGTTATTTGTTGGGTTCCACGGCCCGTGGTTGTTGTTCTCGAGAGCGCCCGAGCGTAGGGGTCTTCAAAAAATGGAGCTGAGATAATGTATCTTCACATCTTATGTCTTCACATCTTACGTCTGCAGATCTGACATATCTTTACATCTTGCATCTTCACATCCGGCATCTTCACATCTTACATCTTCACATCTTACATCTTCGCATCTTACGTCTGCAGATCTTACGTCTTCACATCTTACATCTTCAGATCTTAGATACATCTTCACATTTTACATCTTCAGGTCTTACGTCTGCAGATCTTACATCTTCATATTTTACATCTTCAGATCTTACGTCTGCAGATCTTACATCTTCATATGTTACATTTTACGATCTTGCGTCTGCAGATCTTACATCTTCACATGTTACATCTTCAGATCTTACGTCAGCAGATCTTACATCTTCACATCTTACATCTTTAGATCTTACATCTGCAGATCTTACATCTTCAGATCTTGCATCTTCAGATCTTACATCTGGAGGTCTTACATCTTCAGGTCGTGCACTCTCTTCTCTCTTCCTTCTCTCTCTCTCTCTCTCTCTCTCTCCCCCTCTCTCTCTCTCCCCCTCGTCTGCTAAATTCTATTGTCTCTTCAGGCGGGGCGGTGGTCACGAGCGATCATCAAAATGCGACAGTTACGGGTGAAATGGGGTTCGGCTGCCAAAAAGTTAGAAAAATTGCGGTTTTGAGTTTTGCCACGCGACCCTTACGAACGAAATGAGATTCGATCGTCAAAACTGAGGAAAATTGCGATTTTGACCCGTCTTTTCTAGTCCCGCGGCGCATTTCGCCAGCATAATGTGAGGTTTGTGTGTGTGTGTGTTTGTTGTTTCTTGTCCCGCTGCGCATTCCGCAAGCATAATGTCAGGTTTTCTTCTCTGTTGTTCTTGTCCCGCGGCTTGTTTCGCGAACATAATGTCAAGTATTCTTCTCTGTTTTTCTTGTCCCGAGGCGCGTTTCGCCAGCATAATGTTACGTTTTCGTGCAAGCTTTGTAGTACAAAGCAGTACTGGGAGGTACTTTCTGCAAGCTTGTAGGACGAAGTAGTACTGGTTGCCCTCTCGCCCCCTCTCGCCCCCTGTGCAAACTTTGCAATACGAAGTTGTACTGGGAAATGCTTTGTGCAAGCGTTGTAGTACTAAGTAGTACTAGGAAGTACTTCGTGTGAGCTTTGTAATACAAAGTAGTACTGGGAACTACTTTCTGTGCAAGTTTTGTAGTACAAAGTAGTACTGGGAAGTGCCTTGCGCAAGCATTGTAGTACAAAGCAGTACTGGGAAGTACCTTGTGCAAACTTTGTAGTACGAAGTAGTATTGGGAAGTGCTTTGTCCAGGCTTTGTAGTACAAAGTAGTACTGGGAAGTGCTTTGTCCAGGCTTTGTAGTACGAAGTAGTACTGGTTGCCCTCTCGCCCCCTCTCGCCCCCTCTCGCCCCCTCTCGCCCCCTCTCGCCCCCTCTCGCCCCCTCTCGCCCCCTGTGCAAGCTTTGCAGTACGAAGTTGTACTGGGACATACTTTCTGCAAGCTTTGTTGCGTCAAAGCGTCTGTGTATCAACTGTGTGTGTGCAACGGCGTCTGTGTGTAAAAGCGTCCGCCTGTTTAAAAGCATCTGTGTAAAAGGTGTCTGTGTGTAAAGCACGTCCGTGTACAAGCGTCTGTGTGTAGATTCGTCTGTGTGTACAGTAAAGGCGTCTCTGTGTAAATGCGTCTGTGTGTAAAGGTGTCAGTGTGTAAAAGCTCTTCCGTGTGTAAAAGCTCTGTTTGTAAAAGCGTCCGTGTGTAAAAGCGTCTGTGTGTAAAAGCGTGTGTGTGTGTGAAAAACTTCTGTGTGTAAATGCGACTGTGTGTGTAGAGGCGCCTGTGTGTAAAAGCGCTTCTGCGTAAGAGCGTCTGGAAAAGCGTCTGTGTGTACTAAAAGTGTCTGTGTTACATCTTTACATCCTACATCATCTTCTCCATCTTTTCTTTCCTTCCCTCACTCTCTTTCTACCACCCTGTCTCCTTATACAGCCTCTCTCTTGCAATGTTTATTTCTGGCTTTTGTTCTGTATCAGTACAGATGCTTCAATGCGTCTCTTCAGCTTTCATCTTGACATCTTGCAATCTTGCCTCTTTCATCTTTCTGATGATCAACCGCTACACCTTCCATCGTTATCATTGCCTTTTCTTCTACGTATAACGTGCTTCTTACATGACTATTACATCTTATTACATTGTGTTTTTACTTGCACCTGAATAACTTGCTCCTCTACGCTCTCGGGCCATCCAGCGTCTAGTTGGTCTTCTGTTTGTACTTCCAGATTCCAAAGATACTTTCAGAGATCATGCTGCTCATTCAGTGCGTGGTAACGATGTGTGGTAGGTTCCCTCCCTGATGTGACCTCCTCATACTCGGATTAAGGCATTGATTACTTCCGCTACTCGCTGGGGATGGTAATTTGTTGTTGTGTCTTGCTTGATTTCCCAGCGTTGGTTCATTCACATTGTGGTCATTCTGACACTTTGCTGGTGAACTCCCTGTTTCCTGGTCATCAAGGCCTTCCTTGTCTTTCTCCGTCTTGCAAGTCTGCACCACAACTCCTTCTTTCATGTCTTTCTGGTCCCTGAGTGGCTGGCCGTACAAGAGGACATTGTGGACATGACCTAGGGTTGGAATGTCATATCTATACTATATGAAAAACTTGGATGGCACCAGCATAGTCACGGTGATATACAACTAGAAATGAATATGCGATCAATTTTCGTTTCTCACCTGCCTAAAAGTGGGTGGTAATTTACTGTCAACCCCGGAGTAAGAAACCGTGGTTGACTACTGTAATTAGGGTGGTTCCCCCAAACGGTGAAAGTCGATAGTAAAATGATACCACCCCACAATTATATCTATGCATGTATATATATATATATACAAATATATATATATACATATACATATACATATATATATGTAAATATATGTATATACATAAATATACATATATATACATAGATATACATATATATACATATACATATACATATATATATATATATACGTACATATATATATATACGTACATATATATATACATATAGACATACATAGGTATACATATATATATATACATCTATATATACATATAGACATACATAGGTATACATATATATATATACATATATATATATACATATAGACATACATAGGTATACATATATATATACATATATATATACATATATGTACATATATATATATATACATATATATATATATACATATATATATATATGTACATATATATATATGTGGTCAAATGACAAAAGGTAGGCACCAACCTCCAAGATCCCAAGGGTCCTGCCCTATCGCACAACTTGTTTTCCCCCCTTACCACGGCCACCAGATCGGCTTCCCGGTCAATTCGTGAAGAGACCTCCGCTAAGCGTCAAGCTTGATGGCTCAAGCGGCACCCTCCCGCCTCAAAAGGGCATCGAGCCTCCCCAGGCTGCGGAACACACACTGATGCATTGGCGGTCCTATGGGATGCACATGTGAACAGGCCATGGATTTTACATTGATTAAATCTATATTTTGTTCACCATGCGTTGGCTTTCGGCATTCTTCGCTGCCGCATGGACGCCAAAAGGAAACGGTTTCCTGACATGCTGCTACCCAGTTGGAAGGCTTTTGTCTCAAGTGAAGGAAATTGTATCTTCCCCCTGTCAAGTTACAAGTTACTTCGCTATGTCTCCAGCTTGATTGATTTAATTGGGTGCATGCATCAATAAACACTGTAGCAAAATTTTGAACACTCTTTCTGTTCATTTGGATTTTGGAATTTCTTTTTGTGTTCTTACCACGGACGGCTTGGCTTTTCCGCGGTTGCTCTTTCGAGAACGGGATTTTGTGCTTGAAGCCATTTCAGGCGTGTCTTTGCATCGGATCGGGCTTTCAGGATCCCTTGTTCATCATGGAGACTATAACGCCCTATGCTAAGACATGCATGGTGTTATCCATTATCTTGGTCAAGGCATCTGCAGCTTGGGCCCCGGAAGGCACCCATCGGATATGGATTCCATTGTTGATATGTTCCTTGATAAGTCTGGCCTGTAATTGAGCCCGGAAGCCAGTGCATGATGGAGGTGCATTACGGCTGATGAGGCCATATAGTGATTTACCATCTGTAGTGAGGATTCCTGATTTTTCCGAAGGCAGACTTTTGAGAACATGATCTACACTATCAGGCATCTGGGTGTCACCAGGAGGCTCAGGTGTGAGTGGAGTGCAGAAAAGGCCGCAGGAAGACGTAGCAACGTATCATCGGCTCGACGCCAGTCGCATCTTTGATCGCAAATCCATGCCCAGTAAAGTCTAATCCAAGAAAGCATGTCAACAGCTCCAGATAACGCCATCGCCTCAGCTGACAGTGTACTCACAGCTACCTTTTGGATTTTCTCTGAGTGCCAGGCTATTGGATTCACTGGACTCCGACGGTTTTCTCCAATCCCTTTGTGGGTTGCCATAATCATCATCCCTTGATGGGAATCATGGTTCTTTTCGGAGGCAAACGATGCATCTGAAAACGCCAGAAACCGAACATGCTCCAACGGAATTGGTTGGACGCGCAAGGCAACTTCTGAGTATTGGTTGGCTTCATGCAAAGTACGATTTGCTTCAATCAACGTACTTACCTTTGCTCTGTTGATATTGCTTTGCAACCATCCAAGTCTGGAACACAAATCGGGTCTGGAATTTACGGCGGCATGCTGCAAACTACCAATGACTGCACGGAGTGACTGCCCTTCGTCTTCGGTGACGACATCTTCAGTTTGCAATCTTCGATTGCAGGACAGAGTGATGGCATTGATGTCCTTGACATACTGGCTCTGATCAACGGTGATGGAAGAATCAGGTTTCTGAGAGATTCTCAAACCAGTGAAAGTGAATTCTCTACTCTTGCGGGATCAAAAGAGAAATTTCTGTTCCAATTGTCGTAACTTTTCTTGAAACACCTGATTTCCACAACACAAACCATAGTCAACATGGATGCCAATCATGCCTTGGGTCTGATGCATCACTGGGTCACTCAGCAAGAAACAATATGGGTCGAACGGACTGGCTTTGAAGCGAAGGCATTCCAACGTTTTCTTCAGTTCAACAAACCACAAGTATGGTGCATCTACACGCCCGTATGCCCCTTTCAATAGCTGTACCACCTCATTTTGTTTGATTTTCAACCTTTGACGCATTTCTTCTGGTGGTTCCATTCCAAGCACTCGTTGACCTTGCTCACATCCTCGCAGGAACGCCGTTTGTATGTCAAAACTTTGAATGTCCCAGTGTGGGCTGGCGGCGTACTGCAAGATCAGCATGCAAGTCAGTTTGTTCATCGTTGGTGAGTCACTTGGTATGCTGTCTACTTCAGGATCTTTGAAACCCAAAACCACAAGTCTTGCTTTTGGCTTGAACTTGGGAGTGGTGGTTTTGGTGTTTCCATCATTTTCATCAACCCCTTTCCAAGTGAGTATCCACCTACACATAAGGATGTTTTCTTTTGGGATTTGATGTCTGAGAATCTTAGAAATGGTTCCCGTGGATATCCAAGATTCAATTTCTTTCATCTTTGCTTCATGGAAACGTGCCTTGTCCTCAGCTGACAACTGTGACAACTTGACTTCGTTTCGCTTGCGCTTTGCAGCTGACACGAGAAACGCCATTTCGTGTGGCCTGCCCTCTTCTCGCCAGTTGGCGATGTCATGAGCACATACATTGACCTCGAATTTCCAACATTGGTCAGTTTCAACATGAAAAATAACCTCAGGCTGTGCAAACAAACCCTCATCATCGTCAGGAACTGGAACTTCCACGGGATTGCTTTCAGGCATTGGTGCTACTGATGGAGTGCTACTGTTTGGTACTGGTTCCCCATCTGGCTGGTCCGAGTGGATGGATTCCGCATTGTTTGGACCGTTCCTGGAAGCTTCATGGTTGGGGTCATTTTCAGGAATGTTCAGAGTGACATCGGTGGCAAGTGGAATGGTAGTGGAGATTACAGGTGTTCGGTTATCAGGGTTAATTAAGTTATGATATTGTATTCCTCCATGTGGTGGGATTATTGATGGGGTATTCATGTTCTGGCTGGCATTGTGATTACTGGAGTTCATGGCATGTTGATGATTCCACTCCTCCATGGCGGATAGTGGCCTGAGATGCTCTTGTGCAACACGATACAGCTTTCTTGTAGTGACCCATACCACATGTTGGCTTTCTTGTAGTAAAACTCTGAGTGGGCCCAACCATGTGCCATCAGTTTCTCGACGGCGTTTCCACATGATCACAGGATCGCCGTGCATGTATTGGCCTCGATGTGGCCGGCTTCTCTGAGCCAAGGCTCTTCGCAACACTTGACAATTGTCAGACTCAACAAAAGCCTTTCGGGCTCTCTCACGCATTGCTAGATTCTCCCGGAAACGCTGACCCTCAGATCGGCTGTCAAGGGGTAAACTGTGTGCAGGCAATTCTGGGTCGGACACTATGGTTCCTGGCAATCTAGTGGTTTTCCCAAAGACCAACATTTCTGGTGGATAGCCTCTGTGTCTACTCCATTTGTTTTTGGTGTGGGTGGCCATGGACACAGCTATGGATACATCGTCAAAATTATTCAGTGCTTCTTCAGTATCCATTTTGGACAAAATGCTTTGTAACACAGCTCCATGTCTTTCGATGCGCGCATTCTGCCAGTGGGCATCTGTTGCGATTGTTCTCTGTTTGATTCCATGCCGTTGCAGAAAATTGAGAAACTCCTCGGAACTTAATTCCGTGCCAGCATCCATACACAAAAGTCCTGGCGGACCTGCCCATTGAATCCACCCTTGATGCAGCGCATTGATCGCCTGTTCGGCATTGTGAGATCTTGTAACCACCGCCGTGTGATAAAGTGTGCTTTGATCCAGGACATGATAGATGTGAAATTGGCTACCGGCTTTGTTTGTCCAAGTCAGACCATCAACAGAAACCACATCCCCAAAATCCCCGTGCTCGTGAATAGATCCAGGTCTGGCAATCTTTGGTACCTGATTCTCTACACAAGTTGAACACTTCAAATCACCAATGGCCTCCAGGATTTCGGATGAACACCCTAGTCGACGGCAAAATTCAGTGAGTTTCTGAGCTCCACGATGTCCCAAATTCCGGTGAACTTTGAGCAACCATGCCTGGACATCACTTTTAAGTGTGACAAACTTGGGACCATGTTTATTGGCTGCAAGATCCACCAGATCGCGGTCAATGTCGAAACTGGCTGATTGGGTCGCAGGCACTTCCGGTAGCATAATTCTGAGCCTTTTGGCATCCGGGTTCTCAATCCCTACTTCGAGAGACTGATCATTGGGAACATTGTTGCTCAGGCCTTCGGCTGAGCGCAATTCTTGAGAACTGGCTGCAGGCATTGGCATCGGCTGTCCGACCACATACTTTGCTTTGGCAAAAAGGGTGAGGCTAACCCTGGCTGCAATCCCTTTACGCCTTAACCCTTTATAGGTTAGTTTCTCCCATGGTTCCCATTCTTCATCAATATTTATCTTCATGCCTACGCCGGATGCAAATGCGACGACGCAGTGGGGCTGTTCCTGGTGGCATTTGGCATGTTGGTCCAGGATATCTATCCGTTCCTCTGCGAAAGACAACATGGTGAACCATGTGGTCATGACACATCTTTTGAACCTGTTGAACCAGCTCTCCAGATTCCAGCACGAGGGCTCCAACACGCGGTGCAGTTTGGTCGGCCAAGCTCATCACTCTTTGCCAGGTTGTTTCGGAAAATCTTTGCTCAACAGCACGACTCATTTTACTTCCTAGTCTTCGGTTCTTAGTTGGATGCTCATCAGTGGTGGGTGTGTCTGGCTGATCTCGAATAGCATATGTTGGACATTCCTTGCTCACATCATGGAGAATAACCTTGGCAACCTGTCGAGCAAATTTTCGGGGGCAATTCTCTGTGAACGAGGACATGGCAATTCTGGCACCTCCCACCTTAGTGCTGCCGGCAATCTGCCGATGTTGATGCTGTTGATCACACATCTTGGCATGGATGGCTCGGCGCAGAGCTTGTGATGAGGACCACACATTCAGTCCTTTTCGAATTGGCAGGGCTGCCATTGGGTCCTTCAGCGCTCCCGACCAACACATATCAAAACGACGGCACTCGGATTGATTCACAATTTCGCCACAACTTGGCTGTCTCAACACAATAGATCCATCCGGTTGTTCAAGATGGAAGTGCTGTTGCTGCAGGACCTGGAACCGATGCATGACAATCCCAAGACTGATCCGCCACAATGACGCACGGCGTCTTTCGAGAACTTGATGAAGACCATGCAAAGACTTTCCCATATTGAGGTGGCTAAACCTCCCCATGGACCACATTCGGGGCTATACCAGAGGTTTCTTGGCAAACGCTGAACCAAAATTTGGAAAAGTGTTCGTCTTCCTTGGCAGGTCTGAAGATCTCCATCATCAAGGCTCCAAGCTCACTCTGGGGAGAACAGATCACTTCCAGCAAATCAAGACGTGATCTTTTCATGAGATACTTTCACATCGTTGCATATCATCAAGTTCCAGTTATAATTTCTTGACCATGTTTTGCATAAGCCGGTGAAATGTGTCTTCAGTGGCAGTTTTCTGAAAATCCAAATCGGTATCGGTATCTGCACTCTGCAATGTGCTTTCAGCAAACACTTTGCACCGAAGACCTTCAGACTCAGGCAAGCTCAAGCAACTCAGGCCTCGTTCTTCACCACGGTGAGCTTGCGGACATGCTCCAAAAGCTCGCTCATCACTGTCTCGACCTGGCTCATTCGATTTGACGGATTCTGATTCGTTTGCCGTAGATCGGCCATCTCCTCCTTCAGCATCGGGGCTTCCATGATGGGCTCGCCCTCCATGGACTGCAGTTCCTCCCACACATCGAAAGGAACAGGCTCGGCTTGAGATGTCTCGGGCATTTTCTTCGTGTTCTTGGTCTTGATGGCTGTGTTGCCCGTCGACATTTCCTTGAGCTTCAGTTCGACGAACCTCACATACATACGGTGCTCCGGCTTGGTGCTCTTCTCGAAGCGATTCAGGATGAATTCCGTCCACTGAGCATCTTGAAAGGCTTGTTCGAATGTGCATCCTTTCTTGGACTCCCCGAGTCCCCGAACATCACTTTCTCCGTGGAGAGCTCTTCCAGCGTCATCATCGCCAGAGCTTCGTGGTCGGCTGCACTCTTCTGCCCCTTGCGCATGGCTCGAAGATTGGACATTGAACCGACCCGGGAGACTGGTTGAAATCGAACTCTTTGGACCAACGTCTTCTGTACACATATGCTTCTCGCAACTGCTCACGCTATGTACAAATTCACTGGCACGAAAACTGTTGCTGTTGTTATGGTTGTTTTCCTGTGATCTCATGATAGTTTCTTTACATGACACAACACATGGATCAGCTTCCACGACGGACGACTCACTAGGCTGATGTTTTGACTCCGTCTCGGATGCAAAAGTCTGAGCAGCACTATCGCCCTCCGTGGAACTTGACCACAGTTGATTCACATCCATCAGAAACAGGTTTTCGGCTGATCTCTCCATGGGTAAATTCTTGTGCAACACTTTGCAGTACATGGTACCTTCATCAGTGTCAATCACGGCCCGAATCTGTTTGAGAAAAGTGCTCGACAAAACAAATGGAGTTGGTCCGGGGACAACTGCAATCCTAAACCATTGTCCACACAGTGGAAGGAGCAACGCATGCTTGCTCATGAGCGTCTGATGATTGCCAAACCTAAAGGTGAGTTGACATGGTGTCCTTCGGACCTGCGCTCGGATTTGGTCAGGAAGACCTTGCAAAAGTTCTGTCACCTGATTGCTACCGATAACAGTTTGTGAGGCACCTAAATCAACCACCCCTGAGGCACCTGACGAAGCAAAATGAGTATCATATGTTGCATCAGGTGACTCAACATCCATGTGACTGAGACGCATCAGGCATGTCCCCTTTCGGACGCACAACCTTCTGGGACAGGACTTCACGGCAGGGCAGCATCTTAAGCCTGAGAGCATTCTACTCCCCATATTACCCGTCTTATTTATCCTACATCCCTCTTGATCACTTACCCCAAAACATTCAACCACATGTTCATGCTGAGTGGCTTGGTGTGAGAGCTCGGGATGTTTAGGATCTCCATCGGCACTTCATCCGTCACAGCCAGAGAGACTGGAACACTTGCTGCAGGGGTCGGTGAACCTCCCTCGTTGACTACATTCCGCTTTCCAGTGCCCCTTTTGATCTACAATGACTGTTTGCTATCTTTTGGGCTAGGGTCAATTTCCCTTTTCCCGTGGATTTTCCACCCTTCTTTCCACTACCTTTGAAACCCTTTTTCACTGGCCAGAATCCTACTCTCTCCGTCAAACGTCTTCGGGCGTCCTGATAGGAGGAGAACAGCACGGTCAGATCAGGGTCGGATTGAACAGCATGTTGGACGGCATCCTCAAATTGCATGATGAGCGTGGCATCCTCATCATTCTCGCTGGCTAACACCGCAATGGTGTCATCATCCAGGGGTTCATCTCGTGTCCAGTATGCTTCATGTTCGTCAACATCTTCGGCTTCCTCAACGTTGAAGGCCATGTGATCATACGTTTGAGAGTCTTGTCTCTCTTTGCACCGGTGTAGTCTTGGAAGAATGCAGATCCGAGCATCCTGATAGCAGCTACCACCTTCTTCCATTCCAGCTGGCTATCAGCCTTTTCAGCTCCAGATTCCACTCAGACGCGCTTTTTGTCTTCTGCAGTCAGTCGGCTCCCACGCAACAAGACATAGGCCATGATTTGATCCAGAGACACTGACTTCGCTAACAGCTCAGTCCACACCACATCCACTCTAGCAATGAACGAATCTCCAGTTTCATCGGCCTTTTGCCGACAACCCTAAAGCGCTTTTTCCACCAGTTCATAGCGATGCTCCAAAGGGACCTGGCCCCATGAACCACCAACGAGTTCCACAAGGCGTTGAATGCCCTTTCGATCATTGACCAAAATCTCTTTCTGATTGAGCCTGAGCTTCTGGTAGGCAGTTCCCTTGGTGTTCAGAATGAGTCTTGTAGCAAATTCTGCAATCTTGTTTTCTGGCCAGGCTTCAAGTAAGAGACTTACCTTACTTGCCCAGATGTCGACATTGTCCACTGCAGGATCGAATGCAGGCACTAACATCGCCAGCTGATTTGAAACTCCTCCAGTTCCACCTCCATCACCACCGGAGGCTTCACCTGGAGTCTCCATGCACTGTCGCTGCTTGAATTCCAAGCTGGGTCCCTGTCAAAGATCGAACCAGCTCCGCGCTACCAATGTCAAATGACAAAAGGTAGGCACCAACCTCCAAGATCCCTTAAGGGCCCTGCCCTATCGCACAACTTGTTTTCCCCTCTCACCACGGCCACCAGATCGGCTTCCCGGTCAATTCGTGAAGAGACCTCCGCTAAGCGTCAAGCTTGATGGCTCAAGCGGCACCCTCCCGCCTCAAAAGGGCATCGAGCCCTCCCCAGGCTGCGGAACACACACTGATGCATTGGCGGTCCTATGGGATGCACATGTGAACAGGCCATGGATTTTACTATATATATATAACTATATATATATATACATATAATTGTATATATATATACATATGTATATATATACATATATATATACATATATATACATATATATATATATTTATATATATATATATACATATAATTATATATATGTGCATATATACATATAATTATATATATATACATAATTATATATATACATATAAACAGCCCAGCGGGATACTATATAATCTAGTGGTCATACTAAGCAAAGCATTGGGCCTTCAGGCAGGTGAAGATATTCAGCGGATCATCAAGAGCCAAGCAATTGCTGGATCCACAAAGGATCTCTTGGCCCAGTGTCCCGGTGTGGGTGTGTTCATCACAAGCTACATGTGAGTTGTGCTTTGAACGTCACAGAATCTTTTTCCGCCACAAGAAAAAGGGAATAATAGTTGTTAACGATAATAATAAACATAAATTAGAGACAAAGGAAACATGTTTTTATACTATATATTATTTTTACTAGTTCATTGTATTTCCATAAGACCAAAACCCCCCACCCAACACCACGAAAGCAAGTCGCTGTTCACTTTGATCACGCTTGCTTTGAAGGTACGAGGTGCCATCGGCCTCGTCCAAGTTGTGTGGGACCCAATGGGATGGTCAGTCTCAAGAAACATAGCAAACGGAATAACATAACATGGCTGGAGAAAATCCTGCACCAGTTTGAGGTTTATCATGGCTACCTCACTATTTACAGGTTTTCATAATTGCCAGGTGGTGGAGGATTTGGTCCATCCATATGTCTTTCCACATCTTACTGTCTTCTCTATGTGATGGACCCACAGTTTGTTGATCGTTTTGGAGCTAAATCGTCCCTTTTTAGGAGGGTTGATCAGTTTAACTGGCACTCGATTGGTATCTTCAAGGATCTTTGTGCATGGTAATTTGATGATCATTGGATGCTGTTGCCAATCCCATCGTTTAAGTGAGCATCCAGCCTCTACTTTTGAAGCGAAACTTCCTGTGACGACCACGATGGCGATCAGTAGCGGAAAACGGAACATGGCGGACCGTGACGGAGGTGTCGCGCGGCTTTGAGTTGGTGGGATCACTCAACGGCGTCGCAGAACGTTCACCAAAATGTTTGGGTGATATGCAGATGTCTCCAGCTTCCATAATATTTGTTCCAGCAGTGGGCACCCCAGAATCTATTGTATTTGTACTGACTCACATACAAAGGCCCGTCGAAATGTCACAACCAAAACCTCGAGTTCAAGTGTACGCCACCCAACCTGGCAATGGAAACCCATCCGCGTGTAGATGATTTGCCCGTGAACAAAATGGCAGGCCTCCGACGTGTTTGATTGCCAAGAGTAATAAGATATAATAAGCATTGCTCAAATCCCTTGGACCAAAGTTCTTGGACTTTGACAATTATTGTTTGGCATCTCCCTTTTGATGGTGAAAGTCCAAGTTGTCGGGACCTTTCTAGGTCTATTACAGCTGGCTTGGTGGTGAAACAGATTCTCCTCATCTTCATTCATTGTGGATCCTTACCATATATGATTGAGTTGTATCTGTTTGCTGGCATGGATGGTTTTTTCACCACATCTTCATCAATGCTTGACGCTTCGAATCCCAGGTCTTTGTTGCTTGCCCACCAAGCAACCCATCGTTTCCCGAAGAGTGGAGAAGTGGAGAAGCACCATACGCCATGGCGTACCAGCCGACAGGGGTATCCGTACCTGGTTATTTTATGTTATTGTAATCCATGCCCAATGTGATATAAATCCATGGTTTACCATTGCAAGCGAGCGAGGCACCGGGATATCAATACCGCTCTCAAGTTGTTGTCAGGGATCTGAAGCACTCAGTAGATCAAAGTGCATCGTGTTGACCCATCTAATCCTGAAAATACACACCAAAACTATCCATTTTTTTAAGTTATGGTCTATCTGGATCAATTATAATAATTCACTGACCTGAACTAAGGCTACTTTCGGATACTTGCCTCTAGTAGCCATCATTCCAGCCACGTCGCAGTGAGCCAGGTCCATACAATTCATCCAGATCTATCCAAATACGGAGCATCGGAGGCCACTATAGCTACCGGTGCTGGTGGTTTTGAACCAGCGTGCCACGTCAGATAGGGCACGTCACATGGACAATGGTGCAATGCAATCAGCAAAAAAACTCACTCAAAATTCAAAACACAAAACCACAAGAGCCATGGAAGAAGCCCGCAGTCTCAGACTTTTGACTCGCAATGGAGCCATGAAACATACCCCTATCCCATCTCACTATATTGGTTGGTTACATTAATGGCTATTCAGCTATTCCTATGATGGCTTAGTCCATAATCCTGACAAAAACAAATACAGTTTAGGTCCCAAATTTCCATTGACCAATGGTTACCTAGTTGTAATTCTAGTAAACCAGGTTAGTTCACAATGCCGACACCGGCACACGCCTCGGGCAGAGGCTTGGGGCGAGTTTCATCACCTCGCCACGCCAGGACGGTCACAAGAATCGCCATAGGAATCGCTGGCCATTGTTCAAAGACGCATGAACAAAAAGCCCATATGAAACATCTAGCGATGATATACGATAAATATCAGGATAAGCCTTAGATGTTTGGTATAGTATAAATAAATAGTAAACATTCCTCTTGTTGTTGGTCAACCAACATCTCACCATCAAAAAGTGATCTGTGAAATTCAAAATCAACGGGTTCCAACGAAAGGAACCAGCCCTCCAAGTTGCGTCCCATGGCTTGGTGTTCATTGAATTTGTGTCCATGGGCTATACCCCATGGCAATGTTTACAAGCAAAAAAATGTGGCAAAATGATTTTCTGAAGCACCGGATTTTGGGATTTCCTCTAATTTCTAGACAAAGACAACCCATGGCGCCTTCTTGACCGTTTCCCACCTTGGCCAAAGCAGGCCCCGGGAGTCAGACTTGCTACTGGTAAACCGCAGTTGATACTGGATGATACCTTCAAGAAATGGCCTGGTACTGGGAACAACCGGTGAGTCTTTCTTGATGCTAAATTTCGTCTGGATTCATTTCCTCTACTTGGAGAACATGGTTCGCAAAATCACGACGTTTCCTCAATGCACAGTACACCAAATGGGTGGAACTGGCTAAATGTCAACCACTTGCATCATCCAAGTTGTTGTCAACGGCGAGGCAATTTGCTGCCCCTGACCCCAAAATATCGTTCCGAAAGGCTAATGATTCATGAAGGCGCATCGCAGATTTCATAATGTAGTCCCTAGTAGTTTCACACAATATGCTCTCCGTGTTCGATGTTTGCTAACATGTACCCATCACAAAATCAAACTGTTGTGAGCTGTTCGCCATTTCTAGGGCCATGCGAGTTTTTCCTAATTAGATGTGAATTTTGTCCACGATGTTGTTGAAAGATCCACAATTTCAGTGTAAGTTATCTAACTCTAGACACTATTCATCCGCGAACAAGATGGCTAAAACGGTTTTGATCTATAGATATGTATGTGTATGATGTAAAATAATTGTAATAATAATCACAACAATGATAATAATACAGTAATAACAAAAGATATCCACCGACCCCAGCCGTCTGGGGGTTGCTGGCTGGAGGTTTGTGGCCCGCAAGGCGGGCTGAAACCTTCAGCTTGGCGCTGTGCTCGACAGCTAGCTTTCTGTAGGGGCAACGTTTGACGGTTTCGCTTTTCTTGGAGCTGCTAGAGGGTTAAGAAGGCAACACAACATCGCGTTCTGTAGTCTGTAGCCGGCAAAGCTGCTACCTTCAGCTCGGTGGTGCTTCGCTGTGGCGGAGCCACCTCCTTCTGCTGCGGCCAGAAGGCTGCAGCCGCTCGGCCTGTTTAGACGTGGCAAAGCCAGCTTTTGCGAGTTGCCTGCGTGGCCCGACAGCTACTTTTCCAGAGGGATCTCAAAGCAACATTAAAGAGCGACTGGCGCGGCTTCCCAAGCCCATGTCGAAACAGCGCCGCCGCCCAGCTGCATGATGCCCCGACAGACTTTTATAAAGGGTCAGAAAGCGACGTTACAGCAAGGCGACGGGGGTGGCTTCCCACGCCCATGGAAACTTGCAGCCGGGCGCCGGCGCTGTTTCGACATGGCGGAGCCAGGCCAGCCTTTGGGAGCTGCTTGCGTGCCCCGACAAACTTTTCTAGAGGAGTCACAAAGCGGCGTTACAGGGCGACAGGGCGCTGTTTCGGCATCTCGGGGCCGCTGCTTGCGTGAAAGCGACGCTAGAAAACGACGGGTGTAGCTTGCCACGCCTGGTGAAACCTGCAGCTTCGCGGTGCTTCGGGGTGGAGCCAGCCTTTGGGGAGCTGCTTGCTGCTTGGCTCGACAGCTACTTTTCTGGCTGGAGGGTTCACTGAAAGTAACGTTAATAAACAGCAACAGGTGTGGCTTGCCACGCCCGTGGAAACTTGCAGCTGGGCGCTGTTTCGGCATGGCCGAGCCAGCCTTTGGGAGCTGCTTGCGTGGCCCCACACAGCTACTTTTCTAGAGGGGCCAGAAAGCGACGCTTTAAGAAACCTCAAAAAAAACCTAAAGAAATGGGCTGCCAGCTTGCCGGTGCCGGCCATGGTGCTGGTCGGTTGCCGGTGCCGGTTGCCGGCTGGTGCCGGGCCGGTTGCTGGTGCCGGTCGGCGGGTGCCGGCCGGTGACGGCCGGTTGTGCGGCGGGCGGCCGTCGGCAAACAAAAAATGTATATTATGAATAAAGGGGGGCCTCTTGATTTGCTGCGTTCTGTGTTAAGAATCGGGAAGTATCAACTGGCTGATGAGCAACTGGTTTTAGACCGAAAGAAAGAGGAGCGTCATCGTAGGCAAGAGTTGGGGGGAAGTAGGAAACAACAACATGATGAAAAGCACCGAAAGTCTTCTATTCTGTTCCTGACGAGAGCAAAGAAGCCGAGCCGTGTTTTCCAATTTGGCCGATTTTGAGCAAGTAGGAAAGGAGTTCCAGAGGTTCTTATTGTCTAGCTGTGTGTAGATGAACAGCTGAAGCTCATTTTTACCTGCAATTTTTGCATCGTGCCTCTGCATCCGCAAGTGTTTATCTGCAAGTGTTTTTCCCAACCATATTTACAGTTTCTGTCATATGCCAGTGTGAGATGAAGCGGGCGAAAGCTCTGGTTCTCCTTTTGCTGAGGTCTGTCTCTCTCGCGGGTGTTTGTTTCCAGCAATGTCCGCATACACTCATCCCGTCTCCAAGGATGACGAGATTGAGTTGGTGAAAAAAAAATCTTGCCCGCATGGAAGCCCAGGGTCAGAGCTTGTTTTCACCCGATCGCCGTCCAACTGTCTCCAGTGGATCCATGTCCAATGGCAGCAAGCGCAAACATGCAGCCGCTGAGCCCAGTGGGACTTGGTCTGAAGATGATGAGTCCGTCTTCGATGTGATCGGCCAGACCAATAGCTGGTGACTCCTCAGGCTGTCAGATGACTTCTGGAAAAGTGGGGAAAGACGTGCGCGCGCTTCCCAAGGTTAAGGCTGATGATGTGACCCAGGTCGGAACCTGGCCAAAGTATCGTGATTGCTGCGGCTGAGTTTAAAAGCAGTGCGAGAGCAAGGGCGCCAAGTGCGCAGATCTTCGCAACTATTTGATTGCAGCTGGATTGGTGTCGGAACCTGAGGGCAGCGTCTTCCCTGGCATCACCGAAGTGCGTCGCTTCCGAGACTGAATATATCCTTGGCATTTGCTTTTGAGCTTCGATCTGGGACCGTCTTGCATGTGAGAATGCTTCAATGCTGTATAGTTGCTGATATAACTCAGCCGTATGACTGAGATGCTTCAGTATCCTTTTTCTAGGAGAGAAAGAGGAGTGTGAAAGCAGCGCCTCTCTTCCAGGTCCCATTTCACCTTGTGGCTTGTCGTAGCCAACTTGCTCAAATCAGGCGAGACAGAGGTGCAAGCGGGCAATGTGCTGAATCTAGGAAGATTCCAGTTATTTGCCAGACGGGGTTTCTAACACACATATTCATATATATATACACACATATCATATCATATCATATCAAAGAAAACGCCCAGCCTGCAAGGCAAGCAACGGTTACCGGCAGGTCCTACGCTTTGACCAACAGGCAATAAAGTCTCCACATCGTACTTGCTGAATCC